TTAACAACTAAAAGAGGAACTATTAAATTAGAAAAAATGAAATAGATGACTTGACCAACTTTCTATTGAAACCATAGTATAAAAAAACCTACATCAATATATCATACAAGAAAAAAATTCTATATCATCTGGTTCACTACTAATGAATACCAATGTTAATTCTATTCCTCCTACTGTTTGATTTTCTGATTGCCCTGGATTTCGAATGACATTATCAAGAGATATTCTTATGTTATTAGCTAATAAATATGACCTATGATCACACAGAAACAATTAGAGAAATCATGCAACTTACAGTCCAATAGATTCTCCTTAATTTAGTGTTCTGTCATCTATTCTATTATCACCCCATCATGAACTAGTATTATCTCAATATTAAGGAAATCTCCACCATATTCTTTAACACTGTTTGCGTATATTGTTAATGGGTAATGCCTGCTTGTATACAATTGTTTAAACATTGTGATTATTAGATGGACTTTCTTCAACCTGTAAATATAGTAATAACATAATAGATATTATTATTACAATCTTTTAGAAATGTCTAACAGTGTGAAGAATATTATGAAAGAGGGTTGATAAAACATTAAAAAAAAAAAACTAAATAATGTTAATAAGCTTACCACAAGTGTAAGGGAAGGAAATGTGATTTATTAATCTCAACAGTTCATATAAAATATTGACAATGTAAAAGATCAGTAGTATTGTATAATAACAAAGTAAATTATAATAATAAAAATATAATAAAAATGTTAACAAAGGTACCTAAAATCATAATTTCAGAAGGCTCCATGAAGATAAGGCTCTGAACGAATCAATGAAATTTGAACCAATTCAAACCAATTTGAATTTGAATTGAATCAAATCACTTAATTTTTGATTCGTTTCATTCAAATCAAATTCAAATCAAATCGAATTGTACTTTGATTTGATTCAAATGGATTCGAATATATAATTTGATTCAAACAGATTCGAATTCAGATTGATTCAATTCAATTCAAACAGATTTGAATATATAATTTGATTCAAACAGGTTTGAAATTTGAATAAATATCATATCATATCAAGAAGAATTTTATTATCATTAAACCATTCTTAGACCTTAATCCATTAGTATTCATTAAATGGAGGCACACTAATTGAGATTCACTGTGTAATATAAATTTAAATTATCAAATTAA